TTCAGCTCAGGTCATGAGCCCGGGGTCCTGGGATCGAGCCCCACATCAGGCTCCCTGCTCAGTGGGAAGTCTGCTTCTCCCTCTCCCACTCCCCCTGCTTGTGTTCCTGCTCTCTCTCTCTGTCAAATAAATAAAATCTTTAAAAAAATTTAAAAAATATAAAAAAAAGAGCATCCGTGGTAAATAAAGGAAATGAGGTGACGGAGCAAGGGACCAGAGAGAGTAGTCACAAAGGTTGCAGCAAGAGGTAAAGAAGGTCTACTGAACTCTCCTGAAGCTCCAGCAAGAACTAGAGACGAGACTACCCTATATTCCTAACTAAACAGCACCACAATGGGATTTCCCCAGCCACATCCAGTAGCCTGGCTACAGGAGTAGACAGAGTTTAAAAGTACGGAAGACCAGAGGAGGATCAAATAAATGACCCCATTTTTTCATTTTAAAAAACAGAAGGCCAGGGGCGCCTGGGTGGCTCAGTCGTTAAGCGTCTGCCTTCGGCTCGGGTCATGATCTCAGGGTCCTGGGATCGAGGCCCGCATCGGGCTCCCTGCTCTGCGGGAAGCCTACTTCTCCCTTTCCCACTCCTCTTGCTTGTGTTCCCTCTCTCGGTCAAATAAATAAATAAAATATTAAAAAACAAAAACAAAAAACCAGAAGGCCAGGGAACGGTCAGAGAGTCCTGTAAGAGACAGGAGGAAAGTGAGTAGAAGAGTAAAGGTTAAGTTGGCTATGGTCAGAGATCTTGGAAGGCATCATGGAAGAGAAGCAGTTATAAATGATGACAAAGTCATGAAAGTAGACTGCTAAAATAAGATGGAAATGAAGAAGAAGAGTTTAGGAGACTCAAGTTTCCAAAGGAACAGTGTTCTGCTCGCTCCAAATGACCAACCCAAGAATTATAAAATTTACCACTGCAAAAACATTTGAAGGTATCAGCCACAAAACTATGGGAAACTTGAATGCATTCCAAAGGTTCATACCCTTCTGTTCTAAATACCAAGAAGTTACAGTTATAAAATATACCACACAACAGCACTTGCCTACGAAACAATGCAGCAGTAGATACTGTACATACTGAGTGACTGTATTTTTTTTTAAGATTATTTATTTGAAATAGAGCACGAGAGATAGAGAGAGGGCACAAGCAGGACGCAGGGGTAGAGGGAGAGGGAGAAGCAGGCTCCCTGCCGAGTGGGGAGCCTGATGCCCCGACACAAGATCATAACCCAAGCCTAAGGCAGACGCTCAACCAACTGAGCCACCCAGGCACCCAGACCGTAAGTACTTTCTAATTTTAATTCTGGGCATATCAAGCAGAACTACCTAATATTTAAAATGCTGCAAGTAGTTATTTGATACACCATGGAGATGATATTATATAACCACAAAATTCAAGTTTTTGAAGTTAGATCCATAAAAAGTCAGTCCCAAGGTTTTTCCTTTACCTCGAAAATTTTGGGGAGAGAATGAATTGGGAAGAGCTAGTATAAATTATTAAAAACAAAACATAGCTCCTCCTACTTCAAAGACGGAAGGGTAGGACAGGAAACCAGGATCTATTTCTGCAGTGCCTGTACCCCCCCCCAAAACAAGTGACAGAGTCATCCTGCTTGTAATCTCTTCTTGTTCCAGCAGCTGAAATTCTCAACCAAACACCTGTCTTTAAAAGTCTTTTGTGTAGGGGGCGCCTGTGTGCTTCAGTTGGTTAAGCCTCCAACTCTTGGTTTCAGCTCAGGTCAGGATCTCAGGGTCTTGAGACTGAGCCCAACACCGGGCTCCGCAGTCAGCGCAAACTGCTGGAGATTCTCTCTCTCCCTTTCCCTCTGCCCTCCCCCATCTCCCATTCTCCCTCTGAAAAGAAAAAAGAAAGAAAGAGAAGAGAAGAGAAGAAGTCTTTTGTGTAAATAAAATAAAAGCCCAAAGTGGCAAAACTGTGACTTTCCGGTATCTGGAGAGGTTAACATAAAGCAGAACACACTGGTGAGCAGCAGTCACCTGACACCTAACATTACTGTACAAGATAGGACAGACCAACACAACAAAAAGCCAATCACCTGCATTCCTAAATTTCATACAAAATTTTAAGTAATTTAAAAATAATTTCCTGCAGACACCTGAGTGGCAAAGTCGGTTGGGTGACCGACTCTTGGTTTCGGCTCAGGTTATGATCTCAGGGTCATGGGATTGAGCCCCGCAATGAGCCTGCATTGGGCTCCACACTGCAGTCTGCTTGGGATTCTCTCTCCCTCCACCTCTCCCACTTCTGCTCTCTCTCTCTCTCAGAAATAAATAAATAAATAAATAAATAAATAAATAAATAAAGATAGATAGATAGATAGATAGATAGGTAAAATCTTTTTTAAAAATTTCCTACCTTAATAGAAAAGGATGTCATTTTTTCAGAGAAAAACCAATTAATCCTACCTTTGCCTCTTGGGCACTGAACAAGGAAAATGAGTTTCGTGACCCACAAGCAGAAAGGAGGTTGTTTTTACCCTGGTTAGCACAAAAATGAAATAAATTAATCTCTAAGGTATGGTATCTTTTAATCTTAGGTTTCAAAGTGAACTCAGGAAAAGCTGATTCGATACTATTCTTCACAGACGAATATGCTGTATACATAGATATAAATCCAAAAATGCATGCATTTCCAACATACACAATACCTAAGGCAAATTAATTATTTTAAAAGAATTTCAAACAGCCTGTATGTAGGTATGCTTTTATACTTAACTCCCTTACTTAGGCTTCTGACTTTTCTCACTTATATAAGCATCATTTGGGCCTTATTTTTAAAGTTAACACTTGGGACTTTGTTTTTTTATACTTTAAAAGGATATTAGTAGAAGCAATCTTCTGTAAGAAAAATATACTCTGAATATGTCATGTTGTACGAAAGCCGTTGTTAGATTTGGCTAGGAGTAACTGCTTTCGTGAGTTTCCTGAAAATGAGTGGTAATTACAGTTTGTTTTTTTTTTTAAAGATTTTATTTTATTTGAGAGAGAGAGAATGAGAGAGAGCACATGAGAGGGGGGAGGGTCAGAGGGAGAAGCAGACTCCCTGCCGAGCAGGGAGCC